ATAAGGTAATGTTTGAACTTGTCCTTCTCACAAGAAGTTAATGTTAATTTTATACTTGTTTTTTTTTTCTTTGTTTAATTTGAACTAGTTCATGTCTTGATTTTCAAAATTTTAATTAAATGAAAAATATAAATTTACCTGTGATAATCTTCCTTTCTCTGGTAAATAATACTGTTATATTTTTTTTCATATTTATCACGTATGCTAGATCTGTTTTTAAACGTATACACTTTTAGAAATTTCATGTTCCAATTGAAAAAAGGAAATATTTAAGAGCTCAAGGAGAAAACAGGACCAAGAGGTAGACTTATTGACAAAGATACTGTCAAAAAATATCAAAAAAAGTACAACTGAAGCAGAGATATTAGACAGGCAGATTGAAAAGACAGCAACAACAGGATTCTACACATGAGGCTATAAAAAAAAAATTGTCCATGAGTTAAGTAAAGATTTAAAATTTAATTCAAATTACATCACAAAAATATAACTAAGTAAATTTTCCAATAAAATTTTTTTGTTTCTGAAGTAGCAAGCCAACAAAGAGATGAAGAAATTTTTTTCATTTATCAACTGGTCAAATTTGATTAACCATTCACAAAATAGAGTTTGTGAACTCACATTTGCAGAAGGTATTTCAAATAATGAACTGTAAGAGGTTCTAATGAATGGAACCATGTTGGAGTTGCTGAATTTATCTGCACATTCGCAAGGTGTGGAAAGAGCAGTTATATTAACTACTGAAGCTTCACAAATTGTATATGGACAAGAAGCAAGGCCTAAGTACATTATTACTAGATTATTGTCCCATCAAATAAGACCTTCATTTACTTCAAAGAGAAATTATACTGAACAACTTAGTTATATTATGATGTAATATATTATACAGTACAGTATTTTTAGTATGATTTTCAATAAACAATGCAAATTTAAAACATTTCTCATAATTTGTGTCCAGCAGAAATATGGTGGTATATACACATTTATCTATTTTTTGTTTTTACTAATTATGACCTAACAAATGGTGTAAGATCTTATTCATTGATTAGCCTTTTTTACAATTTTTACAGTTTTTTACATTGATTAGCCTTTTACAATTTTTACAGTTTTCACTTATTGAATACAATAAAAAAATTGCATATTTTGCTTATGGTGATTCATAATTAGGATTTTGGTTTTAATATATTTTCCATTCAATTGTATCTAATACAAAAAATATCAACTTTATTTAGATTTATTCTTAAAATAGTAAAATTTAGAAGTCAGTTTGTAAGCAAAAACCTGTGGAAATTAGGTATTTCTGTACACTTTTCAGACAATATTCAAAATTTAAATGCTCAAAAATTTTCTGATTTTCTAAAAAGAGTGAAAAAAAAATCAACCTACCCTATTATTACATGTGTATCATAATGAAAATTTATATAAATTAAAATTTGATTAAAACAAATAAATTTTTTGCTTGTAAATTATAACAGATACACCATTAAAACATACTTTATAAGTTGACCAACTTCAAATAAAATAAACTTACTATTATTAAATATTATTAATGAAACACAATATTCCAACTAAGAAGCCAACTTAAAGGAGAATTTAGTCCACTTATAATTTACATAAAAAGATTAAATTTACACATCATTTACAACTTTTTTTCACCGTAAGGAAGGCAATAATGCCACTAAGATGCAAGAGGCTACTGAGAGTGAAAGAGAATGAAAAGACCTTAGAAGGAACTTGAAACTCAATCCTAAACAGAAAATAAGGGATAAAACTCTACTCCTGTTCACAAAAACATGTTACAAAGTTTCATTATACTATAATAATTAAGTTATTTAAATTTGAATACCTTTCAACTAAAACAGAAATTAAAATTATTTTTTTCTGCACCAAGTAATATGTAGACAGCTACAGCCATGTGAAAGATATTTAAAAGATACACAGCAAAAGAAGGAGAGGAGAGAAAAACAAAAGAAGATATTTCCTGCCTTTCAAGATTCATATTCCATAGTCATGCAAATTGATTTGGATTTTTGGTTACTCACCAAAATGATAAGTAACTTATTTCCTGTTCAGTCACATTTTACTATTTCTTATTATTTATTTATTTCAAGCACACAAAGACTTTATTATCAAGGAGAAAATTTAAAAGTTTGTTGTAAAACTTCTGCATAAAAAAAATTTTTGTTACATTTTACAAAACCTTGTTCATTCTTCACTTTTCACTTTTTAATAAAATTACGGAAGTTTAAACAAAATGACAAAAAAGCCACGTAAAAATTAAAACCTCCACAAGTCATCTTTATTACTCTTATGTAACAAGTTTCTTCAAATTCAATTATTTTTAAACCTGTTATTTAATATAGCAATAACAAAATTTATATTTTCTATAATTTTCTATTGAGTTCTTTAACTTAAAAGCTTTGTAAATTAATAGTGGCATTCAAAATACCTAATCAAATTTTTGTAAACAATGATTCCACTAGTACATTTGTATATGAAGCTGATTAAGCCAATGTAAAAATGATAAAAACAAAAACATGAAACAGAAGGCTGACATACAGTTAGTATGAAAGTATAGATTTTTTTTTGTCTTCAATCTCAACTGGAAAATGATATTTTGAAGATCACTAATTTAGATAAAAACAGTCCAACAATTGAAAAAAAAAAAAAGAAGAGATTTATCAATTATTTTAATGCATTCATTTTTTTTTTCATCTAAATCACAATATTAAGAAAGCTTCTTAAATAAGAAAGAGCAGACTCATTTTATCCAGATATTTTTCCCATTTTTATAAAACATCTTTACCATAAACAAAGATAGATTTTTCTGATTTAATGGGAAATTGTTTATTTAAAAAACAAAATATTGACCCATGGATTATTTATTTTTAAAAAAATTGAAAAAAATTTTTGTTTCTGAAAATTAAACTTTAAAGATTTAATTTGTGTAGACATAACATTCATTAAATTATAACAGATAATAAATAATAATAAATATTTAATCTTATTACTTGTATCACTCTTTACAATTATTGATTCCATTTAACAATGAAAATATGGAATGATAGAGTTGACTGAAAAGAATGTTTATTTTTGTGTATAAGTAAAACTAACATTACTAGTTAAGCCAATAAATTAAAATTCATAAAATGTACCAACAACTTCAGTTTATTTACTTTTGATATTCTCATTCAAATATTATAGTCCTTGTGATTTTAGAAAGATAACAGTTTCTGGAAGGTAGAAAAAATCCAATCTTCTGAAGTTTAGAGATAACACAAATATCGCTGAATTTGTTATAATCAAATATTAGAAATGAATTTTGATTACAAGCAAAAATAAATGCCTCTGTAAAGTGTAAATGTTTATAATATCAGTCTTTACAATTATACATATTAACCAAGTGTAGTTGTAATGGAAGAATTTAAGTTTCTAGTTTCGAAGTAGATGACTTGGACCACTTGCATTAAGCAACCCGCATTCCAGAAGCTTCTGTATTTTTTTTCGAGTTGAAATGTCTTGCATGTATTTTTTCACTGCAGTTGGATCTTTTTCCATTTCAGCCAGAAATAATCTGACATGACGGTCATTCAAAATCTGAATTAATTCAGGTTCCTCTTCAATTCTCTTCTTGACAGCTTCTGGATCATTTGGGTCTAATCTTGCCTTTTCAGTGCTCTTGCTGTAGTGTTTCTTTGCCTCTTCATTATCAGGATCAATTTGCAAAATAGATGAATATGAAGCACACGCTTTGCTTGGTTTGTTCAAAGCTAAGTAAGCAGCACCTTCCCTAAAATAACCTTTTACAGATTTTGGATCAAACCTGATACAATTCTGAGCATCGCTCAGCGATAACAGATATTCTTTTAGCTTTAAGTAACAAGCACTTCGGTTGCTGTAGAATTTTGCTTGTTCAGGGTTTTTTTTAATGGCTTCTGTATAATGAGCAAGGGCTTCTTTAAACTGTTTCAACTTAAAACAATCATTGCCTTTTTTATTCTCTTCTTCAGCACTTTTTTTCTTCTGTTCATCAAGTTTAAATATTATTTCTTCTATATGCTGACTCAGAGTTGGATTCTTTAAGACTGCCACAGAAAACTGATAATATTTGAGAGCCTTTTCAAGTTCATCTATCTTTTCATAAGATTTTCCAATGTACAAGAAGGCCTTGGAAAACTTAACCTGATCATTTGGATCTTTCCAATCTGTATTCAGGACCTCTTCACAAATTATAATACATTTCATGTAGTCTTCATTTTCAAAACAGCTGATAGCATCATCTATCATATCAGCAATTGTGACACTAGATTTGGGGCTCTTTTTCTTAGCCATATCTTTGCCTGCCTGATTGTCTGAATCATCATCTTCAGTAACTTCACTTTGTTTTTGTTCGGTTTTCTCTATTGTGTTTTCTTGTCTCTCATTTACAGTTAGCTCATCAGAGCCCATTTCAGTTTTCTCTTTATCATCTAACTTTTTTTCAGTTTCCGGTGTCTCGTTTCCAATAGGTTTTGTTATATTATCTCCTGTCACATCGTTTTTTGTGTCAGTTACACATGGTTTGATGTTCACACTATCAGCATTACTTTCATCTGGTAAATCTTTCCCAGGATCTAATTTGGTATCACTGTCGTTAGCTGTAATTGGTTTAACATGCTTTTTGTTGGTTGTTTTGTCTTTGTTGCTGTGTTTACGGCTAACACCAGTTTTGTGGATATTTTTACCAATGACTGTTTTTGCAGTATTTTCATCATTCAGTTTTTTACCATTTTTACTTTGTGAACCAAGTTTTGTTACACTTTCACTGGGCACACAAGGTTTTGTGACACTTGTACTAGGGATGTCAACATTTTTTCTTGTTACTCCTGAAATTATATTTTTTTCAGTGCCAGATACTTTTCTTATATTATCATGTCTTTTCTTCTCTTTTTGGCATTCAGATTGGTTTTCAGCTTCCATTACTAAAAGAAATAAAGTCCACGTAATAAAACCAGAGTTTATACTCACATGTAATTAAACAAAGGCCGAGCTGACAGAGAATTCCTTAAGTATTTTAATCTGCTGTCCTGAAAAAAAAAAATAAGTGGAGATGTTTGGGATGAGGTAAATATCCACTACAAGAGGATTCTTCTTGCATCAACTTTAGAGAAATAGAAACCACGAGAATTTTCCTTATAAATTTAGTAGCTCTGATACACGGCAAGTAGAGACAACTAGTGGCCAAGTTGAGAACTAAAAATGTTGAAAGCATTATGCTGGGGCCCGAGATTTAAGTATACTCACTAAGAAGATTAACTCTTAATCATCAGGATCAATATCTTGTAATATGACGATTAGCCAGTAATGGTCTTTACAAAAGAAACAAAATTATGAGAACAATATGCATTTGTTTAAAGCCTGAATGTAGATTTAGTTGTGAATAGAAAAATATCAATGGTTTTACATTGTCATAGCTGACTGAATGAAAAATTTAGTCAAGTTCTATGATGCCCAATGTTGAAATAAAGTCCATAAAAATAAAAAAATAAAAATTTATTTTTAGAAAAAAAATATTTTATCTATTTTGGATAAATGTTTACATTGTTTTTACATTTGACAGAGACCTTATTATATCACACTAGCAGTAGAGCCCGGCATTGCCCGGGGATGTAACAGTAAGTGATAGATCAAGTATCGACCATCATAAAGACTGAAAAATAAAATTGACAAAGATTATTGTTCAAGGTTGATGGACATGCATGTCTTAATTATTTTTTTTTTTTTTTGTTTTGTATTTTTTTTTTTTTTTTTACGAATTGGTCAAAGCCAAACTCAAACAAAAAAAACATTGTTTTCAATCGTTATGAGTCTATCGATTGAATAGAATTTTATTATAAACAATTGTCTTGTAAAATGAAATTTTTAAAGCATTCTGAATGTAAAATAAAAGAAAAAAGTGTGCAAGACAATAAGAAACACTACCTGCCAAAAAAAAAAGTGAAGTTTTGTTGAAATCGGTTGAAAAATGTAGGAAATCCGATCCCATATATAAAACACACACACACACACACACACACACACACAAACAACCTGGGTTTATAATAAGTATAATTCGATATGAGTTGTCCCCCTTTCATTCTGGCAACAGAATCGTGTTTTTATTGTTTTCAAATTGATTTTGTGCAAAACAATTGTGTTTTTTCAATTTTTGGTGCTGTCAGAACCACCGCAAAGGTAATTTTATTTAGTCCTGTGAAGTTTTGTTAAAATCGGTTGAAAAATGTAGGAAATCCGATCCAATATATAAACGTACAGACACACACACAATCTGCGTTTTATAATAAGTAAGATCAACAAGATTGAAAAACCAATACTTTTACATTATCTATAATTTTTTTCTATAATTTACATGCTTATCTGTCTGCACATCTATATATGAATAAATATAAAATATCACACATCAAGTGCTGGTGGTAATAAAACAATGCTCAATGTAGAATAACAAAGCTTACACTAATAATAAATATACATTTGTTCCTCACCGGTTATGTGCTACCGGTGAGGAACAAATGTATATTTATTATTAGTATTCGGCAACTCCAACATTGCTCCATTCATGATGTGATTGTCAAGTGCACATTGAAAACTGACTGTTGTAAATTTTAAATATTTATACCGTATTGTTATAATAGTGGAGCAGTTTGTTTATTTATGAAAAAGATATATATACTTGCATACATCCAAATACAAACATAAATAATTTAAATCTTACATACATCCAAATATATAAATAATTTAAATACAAATATACACGTCTAAATTTCAAATATAATTACACATGTACACACAAATATTATTCATATATCAACATATACAAATATATAAGTATATACATCCACACTTACATAGATATATCATAGGTACATACAAATGTTATGACAATTTATATCTACAGTAGCAGCATTACCCGGCATTGCCTGGGTTTATTCAAAAAAAGATCACAAACCTCATCCAATCTGTAAAGTTAAAATAAAGAAGATTTTTCTTTAGTACCTCTTATCAATATGGTGAAAAATTATAATGACATGAAGTGTGAAAACATTTATAACAGGAGAAAGTTGTTTTTTACCAAAGCACAGAAGATACAAAAAAATTTGTCAGCAAATGAAGAGTACCTTAATTGCAATCAATCTTCAAAAATTGTTGAGGAGAAATGCTTTGTTGACAGCTTTTGCTCAAACTACATTGAATGAACAACATGCATTGGAAGGAGAAGAAATTCAACAAAGACCTCTCCTAGCAGCCATGCCAAGGCTGAAAACCAACATTCACAAAGACAATACAGAATTGTTCTTTGCCCCTCAGTTTCGACAGCTCGAGTAGCATAGGTTCTGGCAGCATTCCTTCCTCATCTAGTTAACCATTGCTCATTAGTTTCTGCTGACTTTGCATTAGCTGTATGAATAGCATTTTGTGTCAGTCTAATTTGAGTTTCTTGTTGCAAAGCATTTCTTCTTTGTGCTTTCATGCGTTTGGCTGTAGTAGTAGCCTGTCCAAGTGAAGGATTTCGCTTTCTTGGCATTACTGTCAGGTTGTAGTTGGAGGGGTTTGGCTAAGCTGTTTGAATAACAATGAAGTAATCAATTAAAAAGCAAGAATATTATACACATTAATGGAAATATAGCCACAATAAATTAAATGCAAGTTTATAAGGAGTTTAGACTTCAAGTCTGAAAGTTTAAAAACAACCAAACTAATGGAGATTCCCATTTAAACATTTATCGATTATTGATTTTTGAAAAATGACTAATTTTTTTTGCCCAGACACACTCAGTATCGAGTACAATCTATGTTCCAAATTTGGTGGAAATATGCCTTATGGTTCTCGAGTAGTTCGTGAACACACACACAGTCAGTTTTATATATATAGATAGATAGATAGATAGATAGATAGATATTAACATGTACACAACTACATATATATAAAAAATGCAAACACCCAGATACATTTCACACACATGCATATATATATATATATATATATATATATGCATAGATGCATGCATGCATCTATACACATCTATTGATAAAATATTTTAAGAAATATTTTTTAAAGTTTTTTTTTTAATTCCAAAATACTACTACAATATTTGATGGCAAGTAAAACATCATACATTTACATTTAATATTACAGTGTTATACTAGATATAAGAATTGGTTGCCTATAGTGTTTGGGTAAACATTAGCCTACCATATACCTAAGTCTGTACATAAGATATTTTAGGGGTAAAAGGAGTAGGACTCTTATATGTTATCAAATACAATATATATTAACTTATTTCTTATAATATAAATATACAAACAAATTTCAGAGAAAAAAAATTGTTTGCTTGATAGAAAGACCAAGTCAAATAAATTATTAAGTAATCAAAGGAAATACAATTTGTTTTCAAAAAAATGACAAAATATTCTGCTTGTCCCTCCCTTACTTCCTTAACAGATATGTTACATTATGCCCTGTCAATACCTCCTAAATAATGGACTGTTCCATTCTGATTATGTGGAAAAATTGAAAAGACAGAGACACTACTTGGTTTCATTGAGAAAAACAAAGAAAGAAACACCTTGTCAATACCTCATAAATAATGGACTGTTCCATTTTGACCACAAAGACAGAAAAGACATTAGAGATACTGTTTGTTTTCAGTGAAGAAAAGAACAAAAACAAAATTCAAACAGGAAAGCTGTGAAATTTTCACAGATACTACCAGTATAATTATAATGAAAGGTTTTTGATTAGAGAGATACATGCCCCCTGCAAACTTCAATGTTGTTGTCTTCCTTTGTCCAAAATATAACAAGATTATTGAATAATGTTTGAACTTGTAGACAATTACACCTTACATTAAAACTAACAAAAATATCTAATGATAGGCATGTAGCCATGGAAAAGGTATATTACCACACCATGACTACTATAGCAAGTTCAGATCTTATTGAATACTTTACATATGTGGCTTTGTGCTTGACTAAGGTAAACATAGTAAATAAAATCTGAACATACTACTCCCTTGAATTTTATAGTCAAATAGAGACAAAAACAAGGAAACATTCCTCTTAATACAAGTTACTTGGTTAATTACACAATTTTTTAAATATTTCTTGTATGAGAAATTGGAAAATCTTTATAATTAATTTTAATGTTTCAAGACAAAATTAATTGTTTAATTAATAAAAAGCATTTGAAGCACAAATTAAATTAGAGAATATTTTTTCTTTAACTTAAAAATTAAAATATACATCACCTAATTTTCAACTGGGATTAAGAATCTAAAATCTATTATTAATTCTTTGTGACCTTTGAATCCTTGGATATAAAGTACCAATCAAGAATAAAAGAAATTAATCTCTCTTCCATGTGTGAGAATGTTTGCATGTGTGTGACAGACTATCCCTTCATTTTCAATGTATGAGGGCCCAACAGTTCAGTTTTGACAATTTAATTATAAAGATGAAGGCTAGAGCAGAACCACCCACACTTTTCAGAATTGCTGATAACAGAAAAATTGTACCCAGTGTGCTATAAAATTTCCAAACAGCCCTGCTCTGGTTTGGATTGAGAGTTTTCCTTTTCCAGGACTGCAAGATAATAGATCTTTGTCTGCTCTGCTATTTAATCCATAGCTGGAGGAAGATGGATTCATGAATTTTCCATGGGCATTAGTGTGAAGTGAACAAAACAGAATTAACTGGAAATTGAATTCAGTTCAGCAATTGCCTTTTCCACACCAATGACTGTTACACTCAGTGTGTGTGTGTGTATTATATATATATATATATATATATATATATATATATATATATATATATATATAGGCCTTAATCAACAAGAAGGTCATCAAGCACCTGGATAGAAACAACCTCTTGTGGGATGGGCAGTATGGGTTTCAATCAGCCCAATTCACTGCTGATATCCTAACTACCATTACATACAGAATTAGTGAGCCCCTTAACAACACACATACTGCAAGGGCCATAGCATTAGATATCTCAAAGGTCTTCGACAAGGTATGGCACAAATGTTTGC